TGTTACAGCTGTTTTCATAAGACCTGGGACAAACTAAATTTTTGAACCCGATCCGCCGATCCGGTATTTTTAGCTGGGCACGTGATCCTGATTTGATAGTTTGATTTGTAAAATAAATAACAACTGAACCGGATCAGTGGGTTCGGCGGTCGGGTTCAAAAATTTATTTTGTCCCAGGTCTTATGAAAATAGCTGTAATAACACCAATAACACCGCCGTCAGAATTACTCCTCGCTATCCAAGGACTGGTAAGGCATTCAATCAATCAACTCTTAAATTAAGGATGAAATATTTTTATACATACCGATATATTATTTATTTATTTTGTATAATAATAGCAGCAATAATGTATTGCACGAATAAAAAATCAATCTTTTTTGCATGCATTTCGTTTCGCCAAGTTTATAACAATACTAATAATTTTGATTCAAGATTTGTGTAACAAATATTTCAGATCAGATGGATTTTCCCTTTTGGTATTTTAGATACGTACTTTACTTTTATAATCCATTATTACACACGCGGTAGTAACTTTGCGTATAACGCTAAATTTATTTTTATTTCCCTTTAAAACGATTATATTAAATTAAACGTAGAAATAAATAACGAGACAATTAGCAAAACCAAGTGAATGTTAAATAAAGACGCATTAAATAATGTATTATTAGCAATGAAAAATACGCTATTAAAATTTTTTTTTTTTCTTTTATTTTTTTTTTATATAAAAAAAAAAACAAAACTTTTTTTATTAATTTGAAATGAATACTATGTTCAAGATGTCTTATTATTGTTTTGAGACAACAAAAAATCATCGGCTCGTGAACCCTTACACCCAATATGGTCAACCTCCATTTCCTTCATCAAAAAACGAAATAGTCGAACAAATCATTTCTGAGACGATCGATGAGGCAACACAAATTAAAATAAAGAAACATACAACTTTACCTTTACCAGAATTAATCACACCAAGTGTTAATGTAAGGACTGTTAAAAATCCTCGACCGCAAAACTCCTTTGTAATTTACAGAAGAAATGTACAGGCTGAAATTGCAAAAGAAAAAGGTACAACTGCAGCTGGTAGATTGGATTATGTCTCAAAATTTGCTGCAAAAAAATGGAAGCAAGAAACTCAAGAAGTTAAAGAATTATATGGTTTTTTAGCAGCTTGTGCTAAAAAAGTTCATGATTTTATGTATCCCGGTTATGTTTATCAACCAAAGAGACAAGCCACTACAAATGAACCAATGATAATGGTACATGAACCCGGTATTGGTGGTTATAAACTTCGACCTTCCCCTATGTCAACAATGTCAACATTACAGACTACAATTCCAACAATGCCAACTCCACCACAAACTCCTTTATCATCTCCTTCTGCAAGGAGAGCCACAAAATATGATTCAAATACAAATTCAAACAATACTATGATGGCTTCACCTCCTCATTTTCATACTCAATTACCTCCATTATTTCAACATACCCAACAACTACCATCATTGACGTATGATCCTCATATGTCGAGAAGAATTTTACCTCCACCAACTCTTGACATAAGTGATAATGCTATATCAACCAATTCAATGACAACTTATGACAGGAGTTTGTGTAAGGAATTCAACCGATTGTAGAGGAAAAAAGAAAAAAAAATAATTTTTCACGTTTCAAAATAACAACAAAAATTCCGTTAAAGGTTCGATCTTTTTTATATATATATAAAAATGGGAGTGGGATGAAAAATAATAGATCAGGAAAAAAAACTTTTTATTTTTCCTCTTTTTTTTTTTAACCATGATTTAAATTAACATTTTCTCTATTCGCGTTTTACATAACGATAAGATTTATATATTTTTTTTTCTTTTTCGCGAGATTGAGAAAATTTACCATGGTTCTTTTATATCTTTTTTTCTTTTTTTCTTTTGCATTTACTTTTTTTTTTTTACAAGAACTCTTTTAAATGGATTTACGAAATGTGAAATATATTTTTTTTTTTTTTCTTATGGGTGATGCGAAAGTTCGTTGTGGATCGAAAATTAATTTGTGAAGGCGAAACATTTCAATCATCATTTTACACACATTTCATCATCCCATAAAGATAATAACTAATTATAATATTTTTTAGTATATTTACTTTTTTTTTTCGATTTAATTTCTTGTCTTTTATTTTCTTTTGCATGATTTCTTCATATACTTTTTTTTTTTT